CACACACACACACACACACACACACACACACACACACACACACACACCACCTGCCTGAGGATCTTTTCCTGTGGAGGGACAGCCCTCAAACACAGAAACACCACATTACAGGCTCTACTAGGGCTCCCCCCGGGGGCCGTGGCAGGTACAGCAGGACCTGTGTCAAGTCAAAGTGCCTTTGAGCAAGGCACTGAATCTGTTACAGCTCCTGGGAGGACCACATCTGACCTTATTTGAGGAGAGAAGGCCACAAAACAACGAATTCCTGGAATCAGTCGTGTATTCATTTTATTGCCCTTTGAAATAGCAGTTTGACAAAAAGTCCAGACAATAGTCCTCTTATTAAATATTCTGTGGAGCTTTCGGCCATATCTCGTGGCAAGCTCCATCTGCTGATGAAGGCCACAAGGGACAGTTGAAAGATCACAAAATTATAATTTTTTGAGTGCATTTAAGCTTTTACACTTTACAAACCACACTGTTACTCTGTGCAATCCCACTGTGATCCATCTGATCTGATCTATTTATGTCTAAAAGATTAACTTTCAGGTGTGTGTGTGTGGGGGGGGGGGCAGGAAGTGGCTCAGCGTCTCTGTCTACGTTTCTTGGCAGAGAGAGAAAAAAAGGAAAAAAATAGCCATACAGGATGGAGCGAGACACAGAGAGATAGAAAGACTTAAAGGAGGAGAGAAGAGACTGTGTGTCAGACTTGTAATCTGTTGGAGGAGAGAGGAGGAGGAGAGAGATGAGGAGAGAGGAAGAGGAGGAGGAGGAGAGAGGAGGAGAGAGGAGGAGAGACAAGAGAGGAGGAGGCGTCGTCTTGTGTCTACAACTCGTCTATAACTGCGACTGACAATGAACCCGGGGGGAAACATGACGAGCTGATTGCAGCATCTTAGTGACGGTGACATCGTTCTGTGTGCGTGTCCTCTCACCAGAGAGGTGGTCCAAGGCAGGGGCCACTCTGCACCTCCTGAAGAAGGTGTCTGTGTCGGGGTCCACCACCAGCAGACGGACCTCCTTCCCACCGGCTTTAATGGCGGCCACGACCTCTGAATGCGTCTTCCCTTCTACTGACAGACTGTTCACCTGAGGAGAGGAACGTTGTTTTACTTTTAGATTTCCACCAATGGATAGAAATCCTTCAAACTTAAAAAAAAGAGGTTGCTATCGTTTCTTCTTGTCTTTGTTCCCACAGAGAAGTGAACAAACTGTTTTATCACTGTCACGGATTTCTTTCTCAATATTATCACTGTGTCTGCCAGAGGCTCCGGGGCAGGAAATCCTGTGTGTCCACACACACACACACACACACACACACACACACACACACACACACACATTCCTTTGCTCAATAACAAACATTTTGATTTGTTCTTTAAATCAACGGAGCATCATGGTGGTACCTTGCTGTGTGACACAGGAACTCAACATGTCAGGTGGCTCACTCCCACGCCAGCTGAGTGTTCTGGATTAAATCACCATGGGAAAGCATGTGAGAAATGTCTCAGAGGGTGTGTGTGTGTGTGTGTGTGTGTGTGTGTGTTTAGGTCATAGGGTGGACCTGCACGTCTAAGCCAGTCCCACAGAGGAAGCTGGACAATAGCTGCTTGGCCAGTAACAGCAGAAACAATGGCTGTCCGCTCCCCACAAAGCTCTGCTCCTCAGTGGGTGGTGAGGCTGTCTGGGGCCCTCTGGGGCCCTCTGGGGGACTGCAAACCCCTCGCTAGACTCTCAAACAGACCCCGGTCTCTGTGGGACTTTTAATCCCTCCTTCCTCTCTCTGTCCTCCTTCTCTTCTGATTCTTCCTCTTCCTTTGTTCACTTAGGAAGTGAAGGGAGGAGCTCTGATGTCGCTCTGATTTTGTTAAAATACTGTGTGACACTGAATGAGTCACGTCGACTAAGTCATGAATGACTCGTGTTGCTTCTGCTTCTGCTGGCTAAATAATAAGTGGAAGTACTGTCTGGTTATATGATATTACAACCACAAGGTTTTTATGGTTGTAATATATTTTAGAGCAAAGGTCTCCCAAACTTGTCCATGCCAATGCTCCCCAAACAGTATAGATGTAGAGAGATCTGGATTCAGTATCGGAGCCGGCGCCGCCTTCATTCCTATGAGGAAAGAGTCTTTTTCGGCCTAATGGCGTCACGTGATGGACCGAGAAGCTGTGATTCCACCGTTTGGCTTCTGTGTAAAACTTTCTTCAAAGCCTTCCTGAGGGCTCGGCCACGGCCCCCATGTCTTAAAAACCCCGCTGACATACCACGTATGATTGAAAATGACTGTTAGAGGACACCAGAATGTGGTCTTGTAGGCCTAAAATCAACTGCTTTTTTTTTTTTGCAGAACAGAATTATAGTGCCTATTTTAATGACACACTTGCTGTTTTTCACCAGAATTGTACGATTTGTTTATTTTGAGCTTCTTACATGTGATCTAGAAATTGCAGTGATTCACGTTGTAATTAGACTTTTTGTTTACACACACGTCTCTCTACTGTAGGCCAGCGGACGCTAACAACAGGAGGTGTGCAGAGCAGACCCCAGACCAGTTCAGAAGCTGATTATTCCGGTGTGAGGCTGCTCACAGTGTGTGGATTTAAGACGTTCCTCTTATTAACTTTGGGGAAAGAGCCGAGCAGAAGACCTGCTTCACTTACATACTGCAGAGTATCTTTAACGGTGGATGTGGATCAGTCCGATTTCTTTTCCCTTTTAAAATAAAACTTTTTGTACGCATGTACTTTTTAGACTGCATCCTAAAAAAGTATGAAACGTCTTAATCTATATTTTAAGACCTGATATTGAGCATCACTCACTGAAGGCAATTATGCATCTACAAGCATCATCTACATAGAGCGTAACTCTTGTTTAGAACATTTTTAATGATCATAGAATTTCTTTGGCAGTACTTTGGGTCCATCTCACCAGAACAATAATAACGTCTTATTGTACCGAGTTGCTGCCCTGCATGGGGTCCCTTATTGAAGTACCTGGATTATCCTGTCCTTGGACAGCAGACCTGCCCTCTCTGCTGGAGAGTCTTCGTCCACCGCTCTGATGTACTGGCCCGGCCGCGACCGCTCGCTGTGCAGGTTGAAGCCATATCCGCTCGGCCCTCGCCGGATCACGCAGAGCCGTGGCCGCAGCTCAGTGCACAACACCTCCTGGAAGAGACCCGAGGAGACAAAACGGAGACGGTGTGTCAATAACACTTTTATGTGACACGCATCTACGGACCAGAACAACAGCTTTTTAAAAAACCCACCATGGGTTCAGGGAGAACCAGAGGCACAAAGATTACGGAGAGCTCCAGTGAATCGTTAACCATGAATATGAAGCCGAGGTTGAACATACAGGTGGCTGCTGGTGTGTCGTGAAGTGTGTTTTTTAAACAATCATGTGTAAAGTGAGGCTGTTGTTGGACTCCATGTGGCTCCAGACCGCTCGCCAGGAAGGAAGAGGGCCTCCGAGGCATGTGATTGGAGGTCTGCTGGGAAGGTTTGCGGAGAACTTCGGGGAGGGGAGGCGCTGCTCCGGCCTTGAGGAAGGGACCGGTTCCGGTGTGGTCCGCTCCCTGCTCGCCCCGGGCTCCAAGGAGGACAATGGAAGCCGGGCGCTGACCTCTGACCGCCTCCCCTCGCCCCGTCCCGTCCAGCCCTACTCTGGGACAGCAGGAAGAGTTCGAGCTGTATTGTCATCCAGGAAAAAAAAAAAAACTACAGCTCGACTCCAGAACCTCCCTTCCGCTGTGTGGAAGAAGTTCTTTATTTAGAAAAATGGGGCTTTTAATGGCCATCAAAGAGGTCAGAATAAGAAATAATGGAGACACCGCGCTGGTCAGGATAATCTCTGTCACTGTGACCAAATCTGACCCGACACTCCCTCCACATCAGAGTCAACTGTACGCTGGAAGACAATGAACGACATCTATGAATACGTCTGACTCACTTTCTACAGACACTGGCAGGAGGCTGATTGATTAAAGCTACTTCAGAACATCATAAATGAACTGCGGACATTACTGTAACCGACTCAAAACGTTTTCTCTGTTGTACAACTTGGCACAAGCGGTGAGTGATTGTCACTTTACTGTGTTGCGTAAGACAATTGTTCCGAGCTAACGCCCAACCCACCTCTGCCAAGAATGAATTGTTCCCTTTCTTTGCTCAGTAAAGCACCTTGAAAAGAAAGAAAGAAAACATGCTTTTATAAACTTTGTGGTTGCTCCAAATGAGAGTAAGTGGTGCTTTCAAACTGGGAACGTTCATAAAAGTCATGTGACCTAACAACAGCAAACTGCACACGCCTCATCTGTTGGTTCCCTCTTACCAAAGAGTGAGATGCGAAGATTATTCCATCAAACGTCCCTTTACTACAGGCCCTTTCCCATGATGTGTAAATGTCTTAGACAAAAACACAATGGGAAATACTACACAGTGTCACACACATGCTCAGACTACATGCGGCAAAAGTAAGGAGACGGCCGAGCACATTGTGGCTCAGAAGTATAGTAGTGGGCGTTAAATAGCTCTGGGAACTGGACGGAAAAGACGCTTCACTGCGTCATTGGAGCGCTGACAGAAGTTGGGACCAGCTCAACTTGGATTTTTTCAGTTTTGTAGCTTCGATGTCACCGGCTTCCATTTAGAAATGACGCCTCGTAGTGTAAACGCAGCATAATGTGTCCAGCGAGCAGCTTTCTCCTGCTCATCAGATGCTGCTGATAAGAGCTTCATCATAATAACTGATTATACAGAAGTCATCGTCTCTGATTGCACGTCCTGCACTTTTTCAAGTGTTACACCCAGACTTCAAGAGAGACAACCTTCCTTTATGAGTCTTTTAAATGTGAAAGATGCAATCCAAAGTACAGACTGAACAACTTAGCTTAATGTTTGTTCTCATTACTGACCTCCGCTCTTCTGAAAGCCTAAAATTAATGGAAAATTAATGTCGGCATCCCGGTGCGTTGACGGAGAAGCTCTGGCAGAAACAACAGAGGAGGGTTTGTGTCGGAGAGGAGTGGAGGGATGAAGAATCTCCACGAGGCTCTGAAATCTGTGGAATCTGCTGAACACACACAAGCCAGGACTACTTGTGTGCGTGTGCGTGTGTGTGTGTGTTTCATGTGTTAACAACAGCTACAATGCGAGTTCTCTGTAACGTTAACAACAGTCAGTTGCAAATACACTGGGAACATCGCAGATACGGCCGCAGAACATTTATGGGACGTTCTGTAAATAACGAGCTGAGATATCGTAAAACTCCTCCACATGGCCTCATAATCAACAGGTCTTATCTGCTGTGGAACGACACACACACACACACACACACACACATCTGTGTTACTTAATTTCGACAGCGGGTGCAACTACATATTTCTTTTAGGCAGGCTCAGCTTTGGCCCGAGGTTGATCCAGGAACATTTATATACTACTTCCTCTAGGGATCTTTATTGAGTTCAGAGAGCTTCCCAGACCCTAAAACATCCGCACGTACATAATATGTGGAAGGAAAACACGGATTCATTCACCTAGTTGTTAACCTACAACAAGAATGTAATGCGATAGCTGACTGTCCACCTGTTAACATTTAGGACAACATCATCTCACCTGTTTAAAAGTCCTATCCTCGCTCGGGGATCACAAAAATAATATAAACTTTAATTTCTGACCATCAGGCAAATAATCTGAACTCATTGTCTTTGTATCACATCATCTTTCTATTGTGAGAAAGGTTACTCTCTGCGGTTGGAGGTTGAACTCTCTCTCTCTCTCTCTCTCTCAGTGACACAAACTTTCCTTTGAGGAGGGAAGTGTTGAACAGGAACTGTTGACACATCTTCCCTCAATATGCTTCCCTCTGAGCTGGCTCAACTTCCTGACATGAAAGAGAAATTCAAACACAAAGCACACCCCCAACATACTAGTATATACGTATGTGTATTTGACGTCTAATAACATAATGACACGGATTAGCTGTTTCCTTGTGTATCCAGTAAAGACTATAAGAAGTGGACGTCGTCACCCTGATGCCACCCGTTGATTGGTCGACTGTCCTTTTAGTTTTGGAGCCTTGAGTTCAGCAGTTTGACTGTTGCTATCTTCTTTTTTTTGCAACCAGAAGTGACACCAGAAGGGTGTAGCTAAGTACAACGGTATGCCGAGTAAGACGTTTATAGGACACCATAATGTTACACTTAACTTTCATGAGCTGATAACACTGCGAGTGTGAAACAGGGACAACGTGACGGCAACAACCCTGTCAATCTCAAGGTAGCCCTGAAGCATCTCCTACTTTATGGTCTGTTTTACTCCCAATGGGACCGTCCATTACTAAATGAACATCATGCTGCATCGAAGAAGACTTGAAACTATCGATCTAGACCATAAACTCAAGTTTATAAATCAAGTGAGAAGTAGAGTCATTTTCCCATAGACTTCTATACAATCAGACTTCTTCTAACCCTTCAAGTTCAGCACTTCAGCATTGGCTTCACTTTTTAGTCTTCATGCTAAGCTAAGCTAACTGGCTTCATCTTTAATGTACTAAAATAACAAGTGTATTTCCCAAAATGTTGAACTAGTCCTTTAAATCTTCGACTGAATGAAGAGCTGAGGTGCATCCGTCTTTGTTACAGACAATGTTACATCTTCTGTCGGGACGGATTTCCTCGTGAACGTTTAGTGGTTGTTTACATTTTGAATATCGGCACAATGTGTGCGCGCTGCTGTGTGAAAAGCTTTTAATCTCACTCATGATAGGGATGTATTGTGTCTCCGTACATGTATACTTTGCATCGTGACGCCATTGTTTTCTCGGATGATGTATTGTAACACGATGCCCGGCCCTAAAACGCACGCATAATCATTTCTGTGAACTATTTGTTTTGAACGGAGTTTTACTACCGAGTTGATACTACATTGCTTAGCATCCAGTGTAAACAGATGAATACATAGCGGCAACTATTAACGCTGGCCTGGGTGCACACGGAGTTAAGTAACACTGGACCGCCCAAATAAATGGAAACCTGTTCCTGTCATATAGAAAGTAGCATTGCGTCACATTAGAGGCAAACATCTTTTGTACTTCACTCTAATGTCTGCTGCTGTCAAGCCTCTAACGTACGAGTGCACTTTCTATCTGCGCTGCACAGACTTTGGGAGGCTGTGGCGACTGCAAATAAGCAATCGCCTTGAATACCAATCACTCCACAACAAAACAAGGGCCCATGTTAATATTCTCAAAACGCACTTCACAGCTGTGACTCTCACTGCATCTGCTGCTCCAGCACAAAGCTTATCTCCGAGTGTTCGAGAGCTTACAGGCTTCCCGACCAGAGGCTGATGTAAACCTGTTTCAGACTTGTCTCTGCTTCTCCTCAGGAAGCTGCTTTAATGAATAGATTAGATACCGAGGAGGCAAAGTTCAACTTGCAGGCCTCTTGACGTGGCTGCAGCACCCCGTACCGCATGTTTACAAAGCTCTAAAATGATTTAAAAAAATCTAAATCTTTGACTGATCGGCATCCCCATCCATAGAGCCGCGCTGCTAGTGTGTTAAAAAGACTATCAAATGTCAGCATGTACATGCACACAGCCTCACAAGAGGAGCACAGAGCCCTCGAGGAACCCGCAAGTGAGCGTCTCAACGAGCCAGATTGATTGATTTGCATCTTCTAAACCCTCTCAGGGAGTTTTTAAAAGGCAACCCAACTACCTCCATAATATCCATCCATCATGTTTATCACCCTCCGACTCAGCCACCGCAGATTTGCATCCGTCAGGCTCTCCTGCTGATTCTGTTTGACAGAGGAGCGCTGTGGCTGCGAGCAGCTCTGGCATGGAGCGAGCAGCCAGTATGTGTGTGTGTGTGATGCCAGAGGCTGCAGCTCCGCCACTCAGGATGCCAGTTGCTTCATATTTTCCCCATGCTTAGCCAGCGGACTGATGTGTAACGACTGCACAGAGAACACATGTAGGACATCTATGACCGAGGGCTTCCTGCACGGCTCCGGTCCTCTGACTCTACTGGTCTTTTAGTTTCACGTACCCAGAGCGGGGAAAAGTAAAGTATAATGCCACATGATGAAAATGTCCTGTAATTACGCATCACCTCACTGATGCATTTTCGACTGTCTCTCTGGCGTCTGCTGAACTCACGA